TAGTTTGGGTCCAACTGAAACATTCTCTGCCAAAATAATTAGCACTCAGGCTTTTCCACAAAAGCGGCAGAAGATTTAAAACAAAATTAATCTGTCAAAGTGTGACGAAACCAAAGGTTCAAAGCTGTGACACAGACTGTCGCTTCCAAAGCTCACATAAGAAGGCAAAGCGGTCTGATGTCAATATTCCTTCGTTCAAAATCCATCCCAGTGTCAACATTTTCGCTGTTACAGGCAGAAGTGACCACGAGCTATCACCCAGTTAGAAGAGCAGCTACGGACCAATCAAAGCTGCTTAAATCAAAGTCCAAACTCCAACACTTCCAGCTGAAACGCCCTCCGTCACAGCCAGGCCGCCGCACTCGCACCGCGCTGGCTAAATCCAGAGGCTTGTTCTTGGTATGCCTGGAACTCTGTGACTAAAGCAAACACAGGCTGGAAATAAACAGCTTCTTCCCTTCCAGTCCGCCCAGCTCCTTTCCACTCAGCAACAACAGGAGGAGGGAACTGCAGGGATAAGCCTGCTGCTAAAACCTCTGCATGTGCTGCTCAAACTTCACTCACCAGCAGCTCTTTAACTGGACGTTTCCTCCTCTGCTCCTCTCTTCAGATTCACAGCTCTGTGCTGGGATCGCGACTACGCCTTCTCCTCACTCTGCTCGCTTTCACAATCCTCTCTCCACACGGGACATAAAAAGCTCCACTATTGGTGTAAACTACACGCAGCGCTGCTCTGGGGCACCATTGGACAGCTGCTTCCTCCAATCGTGTGAGGCTAGAGCCGGGCGCTTCCCTTCCTAAATAAGAGTCCTGTTATGCATGGAGGGGAGGTGAACCCACAACAATAACAGTCTGTTCTTGACACCAGTCAGACTTTTACACTGGTCTACGCTCCGTGATACAAGACTCGTCCGTGACAGTCAGTTTGTGTCCACGCCTTTATTTTCAGAAGTTCAGGGAGCGACCTGGTCAGTGCACGGCTAAATTAACCCCTCAGTGTTCAGCCTGTGATGACAACACTGGATTACAGTTCAATTCATTTATATGGCACCAAATCAGAGCAGCAGTCGCTTCAAGGTGCTTTATGCTGTAAGTTAAAGACTTTATTTAAATCCTGCTGTGTCACGATTGTAAACTAGTCTGCACTCCTGACAGTTGTTTGGGGGAAAAAAGCCAGTTTCCTCGTGTTTTCTGATTTTTTTGTTTTGTGAATCGAGCGTCCGACAGCTCCGTCTGCAGACAAAGCCCCGGCTGTTTTCTGCTGCGCTGAGAGTCACGTCCTGTTTTCCCTGGTATAAATATTCTGAGAGCACAGTCACGGTCTTGTGCTGTCTGGTTTGGAGGAGTCCCCCTGTGGCACGAGCGCCAACCGGCCGTGTCACATGTGACGGCTCTGTGGCACGGACGCTCCGAACAGCTGAGCGATGACCTCATCAGCTGACAACTGACGGGGTCGGGCAGCAGGACGGCGAGAAGAGCCCGGG